CCCCCTTAGTACTCTATACTGTAGAATGATTTTTCTTCAATATCTTTCCAAGTTTTTGGCCTTACTTTTTTGTACATGCAAAAAGAAATCTCCATTCTCACAGTATTGTTATACACACACACATACAGATGAATGTTTTTGGTTTAGTGCTATGTTTAGGGAAATCTGGTCTCCAGTAATATTCATCAGCTGTAGAGGAGGGTCTTCAGACTGTTACTTAATGGACTGCAAATGTCTTACACCTCACACTGTTTCATTCTCCTCTTCCCTATTAAGCCCACTGTAGGAGCACAGCTGTGAGAACCTTGTTTAATAATCTCCCACAGAAAATATTCTGATCCGATCGAGATGGAGATTGATTTTCTTCATCCTAATAAGAGAAGTTCCACAGAATGCTCCTGCGAAACTGTGAGTGGGAGGCAAAAGCAGTTTTCAAAATAAGACATACTAGTCTAGGTTATCAATTGTGGGATCAAATCGGGGACCTTCATCATCACAACTCTTATATCTTCTCTTGAGTCAGGGTAGGAGCACATCATTAAAACAGTTATCAAGAGCCAGGTGATCTGATTAAGTGCCTCTCTGATTTAAACAAACAAGTATTGGCATTTTTCCATTTGAATTGTTTTCTAGCAACTGTTGGTTTTATACCTCCTCTAAGAGATGCCATATGGGCCACATTTTCCTCTTTTCAAACAAATTCTTGAGATAAAATGACAGAAGTTATTGCTATGATATTAAATACAATTTTAACCTTTATGACCATTACTTTAAGTTAAAGGAGTTAATTGGTCCCTTCTTCACCAGTCACGTTCCACATTCACCAAAGGCTGAATCAGATTTGTAAGAATATGATTCCATTTAAGCTCCTTAAAGATCAAACATTGAGCTGTAAGCTGACTGTTGAAAGGCAGAAGCTAATGAAAAACTTTTCCTGGTGCTAGACTCAGGAGGAATGAAGTGGTGGGGGTTTTGTATGTTCAGAATATTCAGTAATATTTTTGAGAGCTTTTTTCTTTTCATGTATTTAACCTGAAAAGATTTTTTTTAAAGTGTTATTAAATGATGTATTGTAGTCTCCACGTCTTTTTTGTTCAACTGCTGCCTTCCTCAACTGAGAAGAAATCTGTAAAAATGAAAACTTTTTGTTTTTCATTAAATTCTCAAATATTCTACTTTGGGCCTGCCAATAATTTCCTTTGTAAGATTTTCTCTCTATCTGAGTTTCTGTCAGACCAGAGTCTCTGTACATTACCATTGGCTGATATTTGTACTCACAGAATAATTTCATCCTTTCCTACTACAATTTTGACATGAAAGGCTACAGTATCCTTTCTATCATCAATTTAACTTGCAGACTTCTTTTAGCCAGTGCCTGAAGATATGAGCCAATTTAGCCATGTTGAATTCAAGGATTACACCACAGTTTTCTCTTTCCTCTGAATTCACTGAAGATGTTTGTTTTCAATGTGGCTCCTTTGCATCAAACCTAGAAGTCCAAGGCTCTTATATTCTTGTCATTTCCAAAACAATTGTTGAATTTGTAGTAGCGGAATTAATAACATAATTGACAGGCAAAACATTGTCAAAATAAAATGATGGGTCTCTGTTCTGGATAATAGTCTCAATAGTTCATAAGTTCATCTCAGACCAGAATATCTATATGTTTCAGCCTTGATTTAAGAAAGCCCTTGAACATATTTTTTTTAAACTTTTTAAAAATAAAGGTAACTTCTTCAGATGTCAGTGGCTATAGTCAAATTAGGTGAATCTTGCAACATTTGGCAGTTCCTGGATTCAACTACATGCTTCAGGTGCAGAATTCCTCTTTTTTCTTAGTGTGCCTCCACATTTGTTCCTAGTCTGTGTCAAACAAAACCACCCTGCCACTGCAACAGGATTTGTTACCTGAAAATGCTCTGCCCAGCCTTAATGAACCGAAGTATTGTTCAGCCTCTGTGGTAAAACCAAAGGAATATCAGAAGAGAAAAATAGCAAAAATATCTGCTTTATCTGTAGTGCTGTACACAAGGATTCCTTAGTGGCGGTATAGGAAAAAGAAAAAGTATTTTAGCATATTTTTCCAACATCTATTGCAAATGGATTACTTACTATTTTAGTTCATATAATGAATTCCAAAATGAATGTTTCTAAAACCAGAAAATACCACCTGTAATAAACAAAAAAAAAGCTTTGGAATTATTGTTATTTACAGGTTTTTTTCATAGAGAAACTTTTTTTAATGGCTGTAAAGCTAGAACTGGTGAGACTATATCTGGAGTGCTGTGTCCAGTTATGGGCTCACCTCTGCAGGAAAGATGGGGACATACAGGAGCAAATACTGTGAAAGGATATGAAGGTGATGAAGGGACTGGAGCATCTGTCATATGAGGAGAGGCTGAGAAACCCAGAACTGTTCAGCCTAGAGAATAGTAGACTCAGGGGGATCTTATGCAAGTGTATAAATCCCTGATGGGGGAAGTAAAGAAAATGGAGCCACATGCTTCTCAGTGGTGCAGAGTTACAGGATGAAAGACAATGGGTACCAACCAACCGAAATACAGGAAGTTCCTTAACGTGGAATTTTTCTTCAGTTAAGACTTTTTTACTGTGAGGCTTATCAAATGCTGGACTAGTTCTCCAGGGAGATGGTGAAGTGTTCACCCTTGGAGGTACTCAAACCCAACTGGACATATCCCTGAGCAACCTGCTGTAGCTGACCTTGCTTGGAGCTGGAACTCTGAGCTGTGAAACAGCTGGAATGTGAAACTGGACACTTAAGTGAATAGGCTTTTCAGTAAAGATAGGCATGATTTTGTCTATTTGTATGCAGAAGAAAATATACACTGTACAGGAAATTTATGTGGTTTATAAGCTGAATGTAGACTGATCCCACACTATATGTTATTTCCTGCGGGTGTGGGGGATGTTGAAGGATTGCCATATCTTGATGTCTGACTTTTTATGATATGACTGAGAAAAAGTGAGGTTGCATTTTTGTAATTTTATCAGTCCAAGAAATCATTCTGCAGGAGAAATTGGTAAGAAGTACTTTTGTTGTAAAAAGTCTCTAAAATGGTTATGTAATGTGAAAATAAAAGAGAGGAACTCTGGCAGAAATCAGCAAAAACTATTTAGCACAGGTTTCCCAAACATTGTTCCAAATACTAAGACAATGTTGTCATACATGAAGAGTGGGGTTGTTATTTGTCTACGTATTTGCATGAGACCTCTAATTTTCCATGTGAGCAGTTCCTTTAGCTAGCCTAGAGAAGCTGTGAGATGTTTTTCTTATGCAAGGTGCAAAGGGAACAATTCATGCTGGGCTTTTGTTCTTGGAAAATTGATGTTTGACTCGACATTGTTGATAGATGTTTTTATTTTCAGGAAACTTGCTATCCTCAGTGATACATGTTAAAAGTTCGTTCAAAACACTTAGCCAAGACTCCTATTTGTACTTCACATAAATAGCGGAAGTATGATAATGACAGTAAGCATCTTGACAGTCGTCACTGAGAAGAGAGCATTACAAATATGGTCTCATTTAATTTATGGTCAGAGCTGTGATAGTATTTAGCAATCCCTGTCCCCTGAGAAGTCATAATTATTCCACTGCTGGAAAGCAGGCAGCAGCCATGCTCTGCCCTTTCCCCTCTCTCCCTCCCTCTCCTGGAAATATCAGAAAAGGTAATACACTAATGCCACCTACTACCCCAAATATATGGTGAAGTTGAAAGATACATCTTTCTGTGTCTGTCACAGCAACCTTTGCCAGGCAAACATGCAGGGCATATTTTATACCTGTCCCCCTGGCACAGCACCCGAGGGATGACAGAGACAGTGTTGTCATGCAGGAAGATGTATTTCTGTGAAAATCCAGCTTTTCACTTCTGTTCTCATGCATTGAATCGAATTCATGGATTAAGATACATGTGATTAAAAACTGTTTATAAAGCCTGGATTTGGCTAGCGTGATGTTATAACATGAAAATGTCCCAGTAAGGATCACAGTGGTGCATTTTTGCTCCCACATTTTGAGTTTTTTGTAATGATGATCTTGGGCTTCTGTTGGAAGTAAGCTGTTAAGTAAAAGATAAAATATTTTTGTAAATTATTCTATATAAACTTTGAAACAGTAATAGTACTGCAGCAACCGTAGACAATGCCAGGTCCTGCAGGACCTTGTCACTGAGTCCTTGCACCTGAGTCCTTGGCATTATCTTTTCTCTTCCCAGTCTAGACCTCATGTATTGCCTCATGTGGGCAGCTGTTGTTATGGGTGTGTGGTCTGTGTGCTCTGCAAATGAGTCATTTAGGTCATACTGAGTTGTATGGGGCAAAAGAAACCATAACAAAGGTATGTTGCAACTAGCATAAACTGCTGCTCTGACATACTCAAGTCAGGCACAAAATTTGGGCAAAACACAGGGAAAAAAACTGCTTCATATCCTCTGAATAGAAAAATCCCACCTACTTCTTTGTAAGCATTTGGATTCTTTCAGTGTTTCTCCATCAGCTAAGTAAAGAACTCATTGGCATTCTCGCCGTTTATAGTTTGATCCATCAGAGTATGTTTCAGTCAGCAAAGTTAGCAACTAGCAAAAATATGCTGTGGTTAACAAAACATGAATTACTTGAATATGTAAAAGAGAAAGTGTTGCACATATGCAATTGCATTTTAGTGATCTTTATTTTCAATGTGTGATGCAAATTCATTTTGGGGGAAGTGTATCACAGTTGCTGGTAGCTGTCTGATTTTTGCATATGTTGCCTTAGCAGTGCAGCATCAAGCTGTAAAGAGAATGTTTCTTTGGTCAGTATTTCATTTTCATAAAGGCTAACAGTATCATCTGTTAGCCCATTAGCAGGATTATAAAACTTGAAACACACAAGATAATAAAACTCTTCCAATTACCAAGTTGTAAAAAGCAGCTTACTGGTAATTTCAAAGTGTAGTGGCTCACTCACTGATTTGAGAATCCATCCTTCTTTTTAAATAGAGCAGAGATTGCCTGAGGCTGGGCCCACCTGCAGAAGGAGAGGTTGTCCAAGTGAAGTGGCCTGATGGAAAACTGTATGGTGCAAAGTATCTGGGAACAAACACAGCTCACATGTATCAGGTGGGTGTCTGTATTTATTACCATGAGCTTGGTTTTCAGATGTCTTTATTGCAAATGGCTCATTCAACTCTAGCTTTTGACTGGCCAGCCGCAGCTTCAAACCAGCAGAATACTGGAGAGTGGACTCTTATTGTAACTGCTAATACATTTAAGCTAATAAATAAAGCTATCTAAACCATTAAGTGCTGTGCACTCTTTAGGAGTTGTGGTTTCACCTGCTCTTATAAAATCAAGAAAATGGGTTATCTCACAAGAACTCAGGTGAACAGTTAGAACATTAAGACTGAAAGATAACATTTGTTATTTTCTCAGGTTATTTGCTTTTATTTGATGTCAGGTAATTATACAATTAATGATATAAAATTAAGTATTGCTGTGTGACTGCAATGAACCTTAGGCATTTTATGGAAAGATGGAAGGGGGGGCAGTAAAAAGAAAAGCATAAATAGCCCTACTTTCACTTGTCTGAGGCACCTCTGAATTAATTAACACATAATCTAAGGAGTGTTTTATCCTTAGCAAAGGCAAAAGGGAACTGAACACTGCAGGCAAGACTAAAAAGCTGACTTCTGATTTCAGAGACACGGTAATTGTTTTTTTATGTGCTTGCCTTTGAGAAAAATCAGTCAGCAGCTTTGAGTACCCAAGTGAATGGTAGAAACTGCAATAAAACAATCACAATAATAATAGCACTTCTGAAAGAATGAGAATCTAGGTACATTTCATTTATATATATATAATCATTTTCACTTACATAACTCTTTTCATCTGAGGGCCTCACATTACTCTACAAAAATGGCAAATTTACTATTATATCTGTAGATAAATTAAGGCACAGTGAGGCTAAATGACTTGCTGCATTGACCTTCTAACTTTGCCGATGACTTGCAATCGAACTCAAATCCTCAAATGCCTGATCCCTTGAGCTAGTCTCTAAATCTTACCTCTTCCCTTATGTTTAACAGCTGTATTTTATTGTGAAGGTGAAAAGTTCTTTATAAAATATAAAGATTATTGTTCTATAGTAACATTAATCTTCAAATCATTTAATCTTCTAAACAGCTGGTCTTCTGAGGAATACTGTGAGGTAGAGTAGATGAATGTTGTTATCTTTCATATTTGAAGGAATCTGACATAGTCAAACAAACTTGTATGTCTTATTTTGGACCTCTTGGACAATATGATGAAATCAGTTTAGTTTAAGGAAAATGGATCAGTATGCGGAGGTTCAGTAAGGTTTGGAGTTCCTCAGCGTAACAGCCATGAGAGATTACAATAAACTGCCTTGTAACAACCCCTATCACAGGGGAAGCTGCAAAAAATTAAAGATTAGAGGTAGTCCAGATTGCACTTCCTAGGACTTTGGAGACAAGTGTTTAAGTCCAAAGGCTGGGAAAGGAGGCTGCCACAACGTGGCCACAAATTACAGAAAGTCTATTACATGGAGGGTGCAAAGCTAACTTCAAGAGACGTTAGCAATTCTTCCTCTGGTCCTTCTACACAACCTGTTTGATAGCTTGTAGGACCCATGCATAAATACACTCCATTCTTCTGGGTTGTGAGGTCTCTACTGCAGCCTTGAGATTATTTTACCAAATCTGTTAGGATGGGTATGACAGAAGGAAGGATTGAAAAGGACTCTGAAATAAACATTATGATCTAATAAGGTGGATCTGTTCTACCTGAATTTTCCTCAGCTTCATGAGACTTTTGTACCAGATGTGACAGTACTTATGTATGCAGGAGCTATGACACAAAACACCAGAATTCATGTCGTCATCCAGTTCAACATTCGCAACCCAGTACCCTACACAGTCCCTAAGCAGAGTTATACATGCCAAATGCAGCAGGTGTTCAAGTAAAATTGTTAATGTGGTCTATGTTAAATGTCTTAATAATTTTTGAAACTGATGTTCACTATTTATTTTTGAGCTTCATCTATGATGTTCTGATAAAAGAAAATCTCATGGAAAGAATAGCATACTACATAGACACAATACAGCAGTGGAAGTCCAAATAAAATAACTTGCTGGATAAAACTGATGATTTGAAATGTAGTATCTGAAGTCTGGATTAACTTACAGCTATTAGAGATGGTGAGGTTATGTTTTGCATGAATCATGATACCATTGAAAATCTTAGAAAAGCTGTTGTTGTGTTTGCAGTACAGTACAGCAAATTTATTTCCAGTGTGGTATGCTGAATTATAGCTGAAGAACTTCCAGTTACTCTTCACTGTAAATGTTCAATATATTTCATACTGTAAATGTGCCAGATTCTGTGGTTTAATGCAGTTGCTTGCTGCTGTACACTACCAGTAAAAACAAAAAGATTGCCCTTTCAGGGGCAGGTGGTTTTCTGATCTCATGGAGCTGGCAGAGTTCATTCCCTACCCAGTTCTTTCACCAGTGGTGCAAAAAACATTATTACCAACTCTATTATTCAAAAGCATATTATCAAATATGTTGTGCAATAAGAAGCAAGAATAGCAGAAAGACTGTTCGTGCATCCTAGGGAAAAATACATAAATTTATGTAATTTTATTAAACAAGCTTAAGCAAAATTGATTTTTAAGTTCCTCTAACATATTCCTAACAGGCTATACTTATAGGGTTAGTGACAGCAACAGAGAGGAGCAAGGATGATTTTTGTGACTTTACTGTCCATCTGTGCTCTGTGTATTTTAAATACATCCCAGATCTGTGCGTCCCTGTTACATTGCTGTAATTTTTTTTTAAAAGAAGTTAATGGTTTATAGATCTGTAGCCTGACTTTTGAGAATGGATGTACTATATCAGATTTTTCAGCTGTTCACAATTAATCTGACATAGTCATGGCAAGGTTTCAATTCGAACATGCAAACCCCACTCTGTTTACTAGTTCAAATACACGATTTTTCAGATATATCTGTGATAATACTTTTGATAAGTTAATGTTTTCCTATGTATGAATTTGGGCTTATTCTTCCAACCTAAGTCTGGTTTTTTTTGTTGTCATTTATAAGCTCTCATTAAGTCACCTAAGGATGTGGTATGGGACTTCTTTTAAGTTTATACCAAACTTTAAAGTACAGTTTCTGTGGAACTAAAACTGCAATCATAGATAATAGCTGAAATTCACAATTGTTAGATGAAGTATTAAAAAAAATATCAGCAGCTACTGAAAAGACTTAAATGCTTCAAAGCCTCAGCATTTTAACATTCCCAACACCTAGTTACATTTCCTTTCTCATTTTCTGCTAACGGGGTTCATGTTGGATTAAATCTAAACCTAAGCATGATAAAGCTTTTCATCTTCTGAACAGAGCATTTTAAAGAAATTCCATCAGATTCAATAAAATTCTGTTAACTGTTATTTCCTTAGTTGTCACTCATACTTTCCTTTGACATGGTCTTCCTCAACCTTGAAGCACAGGATGTTAAAATTAATTTTTTTATTTATTAGAAGCAAGTAAAAAAAAAAAAAAGAGGCAAATAAAAATGACATGAAGACATTTTAATATGTCACTTCTACAACATAACGTTGTCTGTGTTGTTACTGCTTGGCATTCCTAATCTAATAAATTTTACTTTATGTGTCAGTGTTGATTTTGAAAGCTCTTTGCTTAGATATTATTTTCAAGTTATGTATGTGTTGCAGTTCCTAAGAAATAACAGTTTTTATGTTTTATCCTAATTTTACATTCCTAAAATAGCTAATAGAATATTTGTATGTAAGTCTTATGTGTTTGCACATATGTTTTTGTTTGGAGACATTCCCAGAAACTTCCTGCAAGAGTTAAATTATTATTTTATTTTTAAATATCCATTTTTTCAATTAGGTTGAATTTGAAGATGGTTCTCAAATAGTAATGAAGAGAGAAGAGATCTATACACTAGATGAAGAGCTTCCTAAGAGAGTAAAAGCACGTTTTGTGAGTATTTGCTGATGATAACTTTATAGTATATGTATGCCCAAAATGCCAGTAACACCATCTGTACCTTTATTCTGGATTTTCAATTTCAACTGGACAAATATTTTCTGAAGGCTGTACTAGTATGACTAGCTAAATCAGCACAATTAGCACAAGTGTCTATTTGCTAGTGAGAATGGTTAGTTGTTCTTCCGGTACAGGTAAATGCTGATGTCAAAGATAATGCTTTTCTCTTAAAAGGGACATCTTGGTAGATCATCTGTCAGATCCTTAATTATCAAGTTAGTAAAATTTTTAAAGTGCCAGTCGTTCTGTTCTGTCCGTATGCTTATAACATGTAGATGTTATTAAAAACTTTCCAAGTTCTCAGAGCTTTTTGATTTTAAAAGCCCTGAAATTAATAAAAATGTAATTAGCTTTTTCTAAGAAACAAAGTAGCTGATCAGAGCTCACTAATATAATTGGCAGGACTCATCAGCATTTCGCTAATCTTTGGTTTGAATCTTTACCGTATTTTTTTAGTTTCCTGCAATTTCAAACAACATCCACCAGCTAGTCGTTTATATCATAAATATAAGAAGTTCCACCTAAACATGAGAAGGAACTTCTTTACTTTGACAGTGGCAGAGCACTGGAACTTGCTGCCCAGGGAGGTGGTGGAGTCTCCTTCTCTGGAGACATTCAAAACCCGCCTGGACAAGATCCTGTACAACCTGCTCTGGGTGGACCTGCTGTTGCAGGGGGGGTGGACTAGATGATCTCCAGAGGTCCTTTCCAACCCCATGTGATTCTATGATATGTATGCCAAGTGGGAACGTGCTGAGGTTCATAAAGAGCATGTCAGTGGAGACAAGGTGACTGCCGTTACCTGTCTTTGTTATTAATGCTAAATATTGTGTCAACTAAGAACGCCATATTCTTCTCATGTCCATGTCCTATTCTTAAACTGTTTGTTTAAAACTGCATTGCAAGTATTGCAACCTAAAAGTTAGGTTTCCTAAGATGTAAAACCAAAGCATAAAGATGCAAAAATCTTATCATAATTGAGAACAAAGAGTAATTCACTGATCTGAATAAAAATTTCCCTCTTATCTGAATAATACTTTCAGTGAAGCTTTGAAGAGAGCAGTATACAGTATATTTTTCATTGCTGCAGGGAGGTGGGCACATACACGTAACCTGTTCACACCTCTGTTATGTGACATTATTAGCTGATTCTTGAGAGCTGGGTGTGAGGAGTTGTAAGGGAATGATGTCTAGAGTTGATCCTGCAGGCATACATCAGATGGGATGAGTTTGGTGGGCTAATGTAGCATCGCATGGAGAGGCAGCTGAAGAAGGTTTCAGCCTGGCTTTCCTTTGCTATGCTTCTTGCCACATGCAGCTGGCATCATCATTATTATCATCATTTCCTTTCATCCAGTTATCAGCAGCCAATCCAACACTGATGTTGTATATTTCAGAAGCTAGAGGTGTGTCAAAGGAAATGGTGGGCATCATGTGTGACAGGAACAGTAAAGCTGGGAATGGAATAGAGATACAGAAACGTGAGGCTGTCAGCCTGCTGAGGAGGTGTTCACCAGCAGTGTGTCCTGTTTTACTGAAGGAATAGAGTAAGATTAGGACAGCTCTTTCTAATGGGAGGTGCAGTGATCCAGTATTCTTGGCTAGACACCTTTTTGTCAATGTATTTGGGATAAATGCACACATCTTTCAGTGTCCTGACCACCTTGGGTTAAGAGAGATGTCTTGAAAAATGTTAGTGAACCATCTGGTTATATTCAATGGGATTTTTCATTATACTCAGAAGGCATTCCATTACTGTTTTTTGTTTTAGAGACTACGTGTCAAAAGTATTTATAATAAAGTGCATGTTCTGTAGAATGTAAACTATTGCATTTCTTAAAGGATAACAATACAAGCATAGTCGGGTTTATTCTACTCTTTTTAAAATGGAGTTGGTATAGAATTTTTTTTTTTTTTTTTTTTTTTTTTTTTTTTTTTTTTTTTTTTTTTTTTTTTTTTTTTTTTTTTTTTTTGCATTTGACACCGTTAACTTCACTGGGAGTTAAGTATAGGTTAAAAATATCACATTTGCATTTGTTCAGCTAAATAAAACAAATCATGGCCTGTGCTCAGACCTTTGCATGATTTCTTACTATTGCCTCAAATTCTATAAATATGTAGCTTAGTCTTCAGGTTATGATCAGCACCTCCTTCCCTTCCTCATGTTGAAGACAGTGCAAGTTAAAGACACCTTACGGTATTGTGTCCACCTCTTAAAATTAACGAGACCAATTCCTTCCAAATTATGCTTTTCCCAATTGTGGGAACTTCACCATGACTCCAGTAGTGAAAGTTGGTCCAATATTTTCTGCTACTGCTTTTTTCCCAAATTGCTTGCTATTTGCTGTCCCATTCCCAACTGTTTTAAGTTTGCTGATGAACAACGGAACTCATGACTCCAGTTCTTTGCAAATTAGGCAGTGTGCAGGTTTCTTTTCAGAGGTCCATGACATAGTATGTTGCACTTAAAAGTTCCCTGAATCCGAAGTGGTAGATAATGCTTGATGCTGCAAGGTTCAAACCTGACCAACAATCGCATCACTTCCATGTTGCTGTTTTTCAGCTTGAATTAGAGTGTTTGTGTGACCTCTGGAGAAAATCAAAACTAACAACTGCTGTTAATCACATGTTTCTAAGGAATATTAAGACCTAGAGAATTAAATGATGAGTAGTGCATGCAAAATACGGAAAACTTAAAATTGTACTTTAAATGTGCATTTAAAATGTATATTTAATATTTATACATTTTCCTGAAAACAGCTGTAACTGCATAATCAGAAATTTAGCCTAGCTTCATATGATCTAGTGAAATATATCTGAGTTTCCATGTAACTTATCTAAAATATGTCAGAATATGATGGCCTGTGTGAAGCTGTGTGTATGATTATTGTCTGATTTTAGTCTACAGCTTCTGACATGAGATTTGAAGACACATTTTATGGAGCAGATATCATCTTGGGAGAGAAGAAGAGGCAGAGAGTATTGAGTTCCCGCTTTAGGAACGAATACGTGGATGATCCAGGGTACCGCACCTTCTTAAAGAGCTCATTCCAGAAGAAATGCCAGAAAGGACTATAAAGGAAGCAAGGGAGAGAGGGGAGTGTTGATTAAAAAGCATGTGATGTTATTTGCAATTGGTTTCAGTTTAATTGAACACTCGGTTTTATAGTGAACTAATCCATACACCAGCCTCGTAAGCTGAAGTACTTGAGTTCTGATTTCTTCAGTTAATGTTTAAGAGTTTTTATGATGTATTGCGTTATGAAACAAAGGGGGAAACCAAGTGAAAGTAAGAGGAATTACACAGTGGTATGCTGAACAAAACTTTCAGTCCTGGTTGCATTGAAATAAGTGGTAAATTTCCCTTCAAATTACAAGAGAAGATTCACACAGAGGAGACATTTTAGTAAACGGATAATTTCAGTGACTCCATTTTTCTGCAGACAGGAAAGGGCGTTAAGTTCAATAATGAGAGTTTTTATAAAATATTTTTAAACAAATACAGATATGTACAGTATTGAGACAAAAGCTGTACTTACTCTGTGCACTGCTTATACATTTTTATGTCACTACTGCTTTCAGTAAGGTTTGATGGGGACTCAACTGTTCACTTAGATATTTCTGGCTTTTAAGAAAGGTATCTTCAGCGCCAGCAAAGTTGTTTTGTACATTTTAAAGAGAGATTTTGGCAGTTATTTTTGAACATGTTTTTGATAAGGTCTATTAAAAATGGCTATTTGTAAAATATAATGTTCTTTCATTACATGTATGAAAAATTAGAGTTTAAATATATATGCTTAACAGACTAGTTTTGAATGAATATATTATGGTCTTCATTTTAAAATAATATTCTATCAATGTAATAATGTTTTAAAAAACCCAAACAAATAAATACTATCCTTTTACTTGCAGCATTTTGTCTGTTCATGTTATTTTCAATCCTATTATTTTATACCTATAGGAATCAAGAAACTTCACTGTATGCAGTGTGCATGTAGTTTCCTAAACACAATAGAATGTACACACAGACATACAAGGCTTGGTGTTAAAATGCAAACTTGATAAATAATGTACTTCCATTTCTTGTCTTTCTATTTCCCTTCAGTCCTTGGGAGCTTGACCTTTTTGGATGTTTCACAGAAAGCAGAAAGTCTGAATTTGTCTGAAACACTTGGATATGTGAAACTAGAAGAGAGCTTTATCAAAATGACATCATCTGTTTCTTGTAAATTGGACCGTCAGCAGGATTTCTGACTGTCTGCCACAGGAAAAAGAGCCCTTTCAAAATCCAATTTAAATCTCAGCACTGCTGTTTCTAGGGTTCTGCTTGCAAAAATCCTGAATATATGGACCCGAAAAATTTTTCATGACAAACCCAGTCCTTTATATGCTGAGGCACACAGATCTTTGTTTCATTGTAGCCCTTGCATGATTATTTTTATTTTTTCAAGTGGATACTGAAATTTTTCGTTTACCATGTGACACCTCAATTAACAATTTAATAACACAGAATGTGTTATTTAATAACACAGAAAATGTGTTACATTAACTATATTTCCTTGTACCATGAAAGCACTCAGAATCCCTTTAAGAAGTTGCTTAGCTGTGACAATTGGAATGTATTTCCAATTGACAATACTTTCTCTAGAGGTAGTGGGTTGTGGTGGGTACCGGCTGGCATATTTTGGAATATCAGAGTTCTTTCTATTATTGTAAAAGAAAAATAAAAAATAGTGATACGTTTGCAAAATGCTAGATTGCTTCTGCCTTCTACAGTAAAATGCAGCTGATAATGTAATTATTGATGCTTAGTTTCAAAATACTGTTCTAGGATAAGACTGCATTTATAATTCACCATGAAGATTCAAAAGAACTATGACATTAATTGGTTACATGCATATAAATATATTTTCTAATTAAATAAATTATGCCACTACAGAGGCTAGAAATCAAATGTGTGTTTTTTTGCCTGGATCTGATATGACCTGTTATGACACCTGAATAAACTGCCTCATCTCTATAAAATGGATCCAGCGTCTTCCTATTAAAGTTCATTGGAATTTGCTGATTGAAATGCTGCAAAAATTTTTTAAAACATTCATGCAAAAAACATCATTTGGTTTGTTTCCCTGTCTAACTTCAGCAAAAAAAAAAATCTTTACTTTGGAAGCTCTGAAAGGCTTTGAAACGATCTCTTACACTTCTAAGGTGCTATAAAATGCCTGCTATGTAAATGGAAAGTGTAGTCATTGCCATGACAGCAGTTTCATGCCTCCTGTCTCAAGACCTCATGGCCTTTGCAAACTGGACTGGCCAAACAACTGGCCTAGAAAGAGCTTTCCAGTTCCTTTATGACTTCTGAAGAGACACATTTTTTGATTCCAAATCAGGTAGTGTTATGGACCTTTCAAGTACGTAAGGGAGCAGATTCACATGCAGTGTTTGGTGTGCTATGCTCTGGGAAACCAGGAGCTTGCACTGTCTGAGCTGGGTAGATGGGACATCAAAACCGGGTTGTTTGCTGCCTGTGTAAGCGGTGCCCTATAGCCAGGTTCTTGCTTCAGCAAAATGTTTGTGTTATCTTTATCCTGGTATTAGGGATGGATATGTCTTTTCTGATGGGAAGGCATGTTGGCATTCATGACCATTTCCCTTACAGTCTCTCTGTGAAGAAGAGTGAAGTGCTACCTTTAAAGATGGGTTAATTAAATCAGCGGTCGTTTTCCTAGGATTAAAAACAAACAACAGCAACAAAAACAACAACAACAACAACAACAAAACCAGAAATATCCCACAAACCCCCCCCCAAAACACACATAAAAATTGAACGCCCATACCAAGAAAGCACTACATACCTCAGGACAAGAGGAACCACACTCTTTCTATTATCTTATTCATACAAGAACAAAATAATTGTTTTGAATATTCAAAAATCCTGAAGGCATGTGGGTGTGCTTGTGAGCGTACACACACAAAGTGGTAGTTCGACCAGGATACATTAAAGTTTGGGGTTTTTTTCAGGATGTTCACACTCATCAGATGAAAAGTATCAAGGAAGAGTCTGAAATACTTGAATTTATGTGGGCTTGTGAAGTAGAATGCTTTGGCACTGTGACTATGATTTCTGCAGCTATAGCTAAGTTCTGATAAAATCAAATTACTAGAATTAGATAAAAATTAGATTACTTCTCTTGAATCCTATTTGCTCTTGTATTACTGTAGCAAAGCAATTTTGTTGATGTTTAATAGGAGCTGTACAATATATTGCATTCTGCTAGAGTGGTTAAAATTTTTCAATTAAAAGGAGTAATAGATAAATTCCTGCAAAATATATTTGCTTTGAAGCTTGTTTATACTTTCCAGCTGTGATGTAAAGTAACAGCAATTTTTTTGCAACAGAGAAGTTAATATGATACCCCGATACTTATGAAAAAAACATAGCAGGATAAAAGCTGCCTCTGTTTATGCAGCTGCATCCTTTCTGATTTTGTGAGATGTTCTCCGATATAGAAGACATAATAGGAAAAAATACTGATAAGCTAAACACTGCTTGAATGATCATCTACCTAAATAACAAATACTTGTATTTGCTACCTGTTCTGCTTGATTTAACCATCTCTATTTAATGGCACAATCACAACTGATAACTTTGATAGTAGATGAAGGCAAAATGATAATTTCACTTGCTGTTATGAAATGCTGCTTTTGCCTCAGTCTGTAAATTTTGTAGTGGTATTTCTGTTTCTTGTTAACCAACTTGAGTATTTCATGCAAACAGCATGTCCAAACAGCATATTAGCAGGAGGAGAAAGCTTATGTATGGTGGGCAAGGGGAATCTTCTCCTGCACATATGCACAAGAGGTTTATCCATCTTTTTTAAAAGTTGCAGCACCATCTGATAAATTTATCACACACCTTTGAAAATTCAAAAGCCATTTTGAATTTGAAATTCAAAGGCCATCTCTGAGGCTTCTAGTCTTGAATTCCCAATGCCTTAGGGTTTTTCTCTAACACGTCTAGCAAAAAGCTGAAATTTTTATGTGTTGGTTTGTGCCTGAAAAAAAGCCAGGCATCTCTACTGTAAGCAGTTTGGTCATTTGGAAGAGGAGGATTAAGGAAAAAAAAATCTTCATTCTTTTTGCCCTGAAGTTTCCCAGCCATTTATTTGAGAACCCGTGTGGTTCCTTCATACAGGGGAACTGGGATTTAGGTAAATGGGGACCGGGGTGATTCCCATTAAGTATCAGAAATAGGTTTGTTAGTGTTGCCATAGGTGTGCTGTCATTTGGCTGAGCTATCATAATCTGAGTGGATAAGGCTCTGAGATAATACCTTGGAAGAGCCTGTACCCCCTGCAGTGCTTGTTGCACCCCAGTGCCCTTCTGTGATGATGGAAGGGACTGTGCATGTATTGCCACCACAGTCAGCTGAGCACTGACCTGGCCCGGCTTGCAAACTAGGAGGGCCTTTTGTTGCTCACTCTAGTTACTTAAATGGAGAAAGAAGACAGGCTCTCTTTTGATCTCAATTCCCTGCTAATATTACTGCAGTAGTATAAAGAAGAGGAGGAAAAAAAAAAAAAAACCAAACAACTTCAGTGTAAAGAGTTGAAGGCAGGCAAGTGCAGAAGATGCAAAACAGACAGATTGCTCTAGTTCTACCAGTCATCTTGCTGGTGAATCATAGAATGGTTTAGGATGGAAGGAACCTTAAAAATCATGTAGTTACAAACCCCCTGCCTTGGGCTGGGACACTTCCCACTAGATCGGGTTGCTCAAAGTCCCATTCAGCCTGGTCCTGAACACTTCCAGGAATGGGGCCTCTACAGCTTCCCTGGGCAATCCGTTCCAGTGCATCACCACCCTCAGAGTGAAAAATTTCTTCCTAATGTCTAATCTAAATCTAGCCTCTTCCAGTTTGAAGCCATCATCCCTTGAGCTATCACTACATGCCCTTGAAAAATGTTCCTCTTCAGCTTTCTTGTAGGGCTCCTTCAGATACTGAAAAGCTGCTATAAGGTCTCCCCAAAGCCTTCTTTCTCCAGACTGAACAATCCCAACTCTTTCAGCCTGTCTTTATAGGAGAGGTGCTCCAGCCCTCTGATCATCTTCGTGGCCCTTCTGTGGACTCGCTCTAACAGGTTCATGTCCTTCTTATGTTGCAGGGCCCCAAAGCTGGAGGGAGTACTCCAGGTGGGATCTCACCAGAGCAGAGTAGAGGGCAGAATCACCTCCCTTGACCTGCTGGCCACATCTCTTTTGATACAGCCCAGGGTAGAGTTGACCTTACTGGGTCATGTGCACATTGCTGGGTCATGTTGAGCTTCTCATCAACAAATAAGTCCTTCTCAGCATTGCTTGCAATCCCTTCTCCACCCAGCCAATACTTGTGCTTGGAGCTGCCCCAACCCAGGTGCAGGACCTTCCACTTGGCCTTGATGAACTTCAAAATGTTTACATGGGCCCACCTGTCAAGTCAGTCCAGGTCCCTCTGGCATCCCTTCTCTCCAGCGTATCAATCACTCCATACAGCTTGCTGTTGGCAAACTTGCTAAGGGTGCACTCAGTGTTGCACTCACAACACTGTCCATGTTGGTGGTAAAAATGTTAAACAATACCTGTCCCATTACCTAGCCCTGAGGAATGCCACTTGTCATCCACTTGGATATCAAGCCATTGACCACAACTCTTTGAGTGCGACCATCCAGCTAATTCCTTATCCATTGAGTGGTCCATCTGTCAAGTCTATGTCTCTCCAATTTAGAGACAAAGATGTGGTGGTGTACATTGTCAAATGCTTTGCATAGGTCCAGGCAGATAATTATCTTATCTGCCAGTGTTGTAACCCCATGGTAGAAGGACATCACATTTGTCAGACACGATTTTCCTTTAGTGAAGCCATGATGACTGT